CATGTATATACTGAGTATAAGCAGTTAAGTAGACACCGGTATTTTTTCCCCTACAATTTAGCATAACTGCAGCCAGTAGAGTTCATAGACGGTGCAATAAATTTCCTGACCACCATTTACAATATACTAACAGGGTTCACAAAAAGACAGTGCAATAAATTCTTGTCCATCATTTAGAGTATAATAGTAAGACTAGTCACAGTGGGAGTAACTTCAGCACTAACTTCAAGTCCAACTCAGCAAATTTGTCTATATGGCAATGAGTTAATGAAGAGAGAGGTAGTTCTAGTAATTTAGCATGTTACTATAACATCACATATCCCAATGCAGTATGAGTCTATAATCTAATAAATGGAGTTTTGCATGACACCATACCTATGTTACTCACTCATTTCCGATTTATGGGGCTTAATTCAAAAATCTCACCAACCAAGGTAGATGGTGAGTGGTGAAATATTTTTTATAGTTTGCAAAAGCATCCAACTAATGCTCTTATTTTCCTCAAAAAATTATGTTTACCAATGCATTAATTGCAATGCATGCATGCATAAAGTACATGCATTGGTTGATTTTCTCTTAATAATTGCATGTAATGATTTAATGCACCTTGAAATCTGAACATGTGATGAAGAACAATCAAATTGAGGCTTATAAAATGGAAAGACTAAAATTTTGAGATAAGCCCTATAAACCGGAAAGGAGGGGAGTACTACCCACTATGAAGGTAGTAACATAGTCTAGGGATATGTGTATGTTACTAGTGTATGTTACTCTTCATTGTGGCTAGTGTAACTTCAGCAGTAACATCGAGTCCAATGCAGCAAATTTGCTTATGTGGCAATGAGTTAAGGAGGAGAGAGGTAGTTTCAATAACATCACTTATTATAAATAAAGCTTTGCATGTTACCACACTTATGTTACTATCGATTATGAAGGTAATAACATAGTCTAGGAATATATTACTAGTGTATGTTATTCTTCACTATGGCTAGTCTAACAAGGTTCATAGACAATGTAATAAATCTCAAGGAAAAACTGCACGAGTTATTAGCACACGACAAAACTACATGATCATTTGACTTGAGTCCCAAATGGATGGTGGGTAATGCCTCTCGCAGCGGCCCGCGAAAGCCTGTCCAGAACCCTGTAAAACTCAATTGAGCCTACTTCTCCTCGCATACTGGCTCACTCTTCTCCGTTGCATCTCTCCCCAACGCGTGGTCCAAATGCTGCCATCGCCGCCTCCATTCCCAGCTGACGCCGGCTGTCTCCTGCGTCTCTCCTCGTCGACCCAACTCCGGCTCTCCTCCCTCCTCCGGTTACCCGGCACGGCCTCGCTGCTCTGCCCTTGCGCCCAGTGCTTCGTCTAATCCTATTACCCGCAAGGGTTTCCGCTGCGGCCTCGTCTCCACCACGTCTCCGCCTCCGAGCACCACCACAACTCCGTTCCCATGGGTACTCGAGCCACGATGTCGTCCGCCATCCTCCACCTCGCGAGCTTCCGTCGTCCTACTGCTCGACGCTAAGCCAACCATGCCTCTTCTAGCATCCTTCTCCGCGCTGCCACCAAGCCCGATGCCCAGTCTTCAGGCAGTTAAAAAAAATAGCTTGTGTTTTTAGGTTAAAATGTTACGTACAGGGCCGGCCCTAGGGTATGGCCAACGAGGCAACGGCCAAGGGCCCAAGACTCAGAGGGGCCCACGATCTGGCATGCAGGTACATTAGTATAGAGGAAAAATATTAGGCAGAGAAAAAAATTAAGAAAGGAAGCGAAGCTAGGCCCAATTCCCTTGCTGATCGCTAGCGCTAGTTGAAGCATAGCTACGCACAGCCGCTTCTTCTCTTCGTCATCAATCAGATCGCTGACTCCTAAAAAAATAGGCAGTAATCTGCGCCAGCGCACCGGCCCAAGCGCTGCGCCGGTCCTATCACAGTCGTTGGATTAATCCATCTGTGGTCATTGGATTAAAAAAAACCACGTCATCCCTCCGCACCACTTCGTCTCGAATTAGAGACAGGAACACAGCTTTGACCGGCTGTAGATGACTTCCCATGCAGGCTGTCTCGTACAACGACATGGTTTGCCATGGCCTCCGACGAATCACCGGCGCTTTCGTGGCCCTCGCCGTCGTTGCCCCCGCTAACTGTCTCGCCGCCATTCGTCATGATCTACGCACCACCCACGCCGTTCATGGTCCCTCTTTGTCGTCGGTTGCAACATCATGTACTCGCCTTCGTAGCCCCCTCGCTGTCTCTAGTGCAGCCTCGCCATCCCGGCAAAAAAAACGAGCAGTCGTCACCGTCCCGGCAAAAACTCTGCCGGTCGCAGCAAGAAAACACCGTCGGTTCCAGGAAAAAAAAAATCGTCTGTCACAGCTTTTTCTCCGCTGCCATTGGTTCATAGTAGCAAATGGCAATGCTGGTTGTAGCAAAAAAGCAACGCGGTTGTAGCATAAGAACCGGCGCCGGTGGTATGTGGTAGCATAAGAAATGTGGGCTGTAGCAATAGCCGGTGTGGTTGTAGCAAAAGATCAACGTCGGCGATGCATCATAGCATAACGAGACCCTGGTTGTAGCAAGTTGGTACGCTAGTTGTAGCATCACGCACTGTGCTTCTAGCAGGGCAGTGCTGGTCGGGGCGGCGCCACAAACTGCCGACGCCGGTGGTGCGTTGTAGCAAAAAACAAAATGCCAGTTGAATCTTTTTCTGTCTAAGGTTTACGCTTTTCTCGTAATGGTTCCAACTCTTTTGAGTTTGACATTGGTTGGTTGAAGCTTTCCCTGTTGACGGTTGAAGCTTTTTCGATCTAGGTTTGAAGCTTTTTTAGAAGCGGGTTGTAGCTATTCTCGACGCCGGTTGCAGCTTTTTTGGCTGCGCGGTGGCTGACCTCCAGCTACCCCGTATCCAGTTGAAGCTTTTTTCAAAATCGGATGTAGCTTTTTTGGTTGCCAGGCGTAGCATTTTTCAGTATGGTTGCAGCTATGACGCACGTCCGTCGAAGCCTATTCTTTCTCTAGTTCTAGCAAAAAATGCCACTGGTCGTAGCATTTTGGGTTGACGGTTGTAGCTTCGATGTGCACCGGTTTTAACACCTGCTTCTCTCTTGTCCCTGCAAGAAAGAATGATGCATTTAGCAATTTCCGTCGCTGCTTGTAGCTTCGTCGAGTGTCGTTAACAGCTTTTCCGTAGATGGTTGAAGCATCCCCGTGCAACACGTCCACGCTTGCAGGTGCCGGTCCCCGGTTCGTGCTTGTAGCATCGTCATCCCCGCTGTTGTGGGTTGCAGCTCCTTATCAAAAAAGATGTTGTCACCGGATGCAGCAAAAAAATTTGCTGGTTCCAGCTCCCTCTCCGGCCGGTTCCAGCAAAACATTGCTGGTTCCGGTGACGGTCGGTTGTAGCAAAAAATGCGGACGGTTGAAGCTTTCTCTGAAGCCGGTTGAAGCTATTAATGAGGGCAATGGAGCACGGATGAGAGAAGTTCAGCGCGCGGGCTGGAGGTGGAAGAAAACCGATGTGGCGTTGTGTGGCCAGGAAAAAAGAGGGGAAAAAGAGATAAGGTAAAAAAACGGTTCGCACGAACCCACCACGCACGCGTCTCGCGCGGAACCTTTCGCGTGAAGGGAATACAAGGCTGCAGCACGTTGTGAGTGCCAGCGTGTCACGCGACCGGTGGAAGTTTGGACCGGCGTGCCAGATCTAAACGTTTCCCTAAAAAAATCAATCAGATCGATCGCTTCGTCAGTTGTCTCTTCTTTTCTTCATCAAGACGTCAGTCGTCGCTCCAGCTCCTCGGAATTCTTCTTCTTATCACCGCTGCGCGCGACAGCCTGGTGCCGGTGACCTAGCGGCGGGGGTCCAAGTCGAACTCCAGTCCCCAAATGCGGCAACACGCTGACGCAACGTTTTTTTCCCATCGTCCAGAACACAACAAACCCCAGTTCCCAATCACAGCAAGGTCATCACCGTCGATACCAATAGGGTCGTTTTTATGTTCTGGTAGTGACTGCGTCGGCTCCTTTCTATTGAATCATGTGAATTTGTATGGATTTTGAGATTTATCCCCTTCCTTGCTTCACGTGCAGAAAAAAGTAGTCCGTTCGTTGTAGAAACTTTGAACTTAGATCAGGATCAAAGTGACAGAAAATGATGTCTTTGTATCTGCAGATTATATAAAGTAATACACTGAATCTTTGGGTCAACGGATTTCTCATATTGCTTATGATATTTAACTCATTATCCATGTTATTTCTAGGGCTTAGAAGATGGTTCTAATGCTTCATCAAATAGCAAAAAATATTATCAAGAATGACATGTAGAAGGAGCCATCACATTGATAATGGCCGAGGTATGCTTCCTTGTTGTGATTGCTTTTGTTCTACTGTAAGAAGTATGTGCATCATTTAAATACGACTAGTATATATTAGTAAAAACAATGTGAGGTTTGTAAATGTCCCAAGAGCGGTTAGGTTTGGCAAATTCCCAAGATTGATCATTACCAGCGACTTTGCATCTCGAAAAGCGAAAGAAAATTTTAAAGTAAAATATAAGGGCCTTAGGTTCTCGTTTTGCCCAGGGCCGCCGAAATCTTAAGACCGGCCCTGGTTACGTAGAGTACTGCTCTTGATCGAAGTACTACACTCCTATATTTACAAATTGCAAGTTAATGAAACCCGTAGATGTGACCCGTAGATGTAACCCGAGGGGATCGGTCCCCTGTTACTTCATTTCATAGTCCCCACGAGCACCAGCTGGGCGTGCCCGCACTTTTATTGCAGGCCACCGGGGGGCGGGAAAGGGGCGCCGCTGGCCGCTCCACTTGGGCATTTTTTGTCGGAAGGGCACGAGCTGCCGCCATGGTTGGCCTAGAATTTACATCCGGGACAAGCCCGCGACACGCACTTAATTAGCACAGGCAGCGGCAACCTCCAAGCGCTTAATTAGCACGCGCAGCGCAGCGTAGGGGGGCGGGAGAGAGAGAGAGAGAGAGAGGAGGTGGATGGGCACCGACGCGTTCCTCCGGCAGCAGGAGCCATGGTTCGTCTCACTGGGCATCCTCGGCGCCCTCTACGTCGCCGTGGTCGCGTACCGCCTCTTCCACATCTCCGGCCTCGCGCTCTGCCTGCGCCAGCCCAAGGACCTCCGCCGCCGCTACGGGGCGTGGGCCGTCGTGACCGGCCCGACGTCCGGCATCGGCCGCTCGATGGCGCTGGAGCTCGCGCGGCGCGGCCTCAACCTCGTGCTAGTCGGCCGCGACCCCGCCATGCTCCAGGACATCTCCGAGACCGTCTCCCGAACGCACGGCGTGCTGGCCAAGACCGTGCAGTTCGACTTCTCCCTCGTCTCCACTCCTCGAGGTGAAGCACCACTGCAGCACACACAGTACTGAAACGTAGAAATAATCCAGATGTGCTGACTGATGGTGTTTTTGGCAGGGGATGAGGCGATGAGGCGGCTCCGGGAGGCGGTGGCAGGGCTGGACGTCGGACTCCTGGTGAACAACGCCGGGGTGGCGAAGCCGGGCGTGGTGTACCTGCACGAGGTCGACGCGGAGGCGTGGGTGAGCATGATACGGGTGAACCTGTGGGCCTTGACGGAGGTGACGGCGGCCGTGCTGCCCGGGATGGTGGACCGGGGGAGGGGCGCCGTCGTCAACATCGGCTCCGGCTGCACGGTGGCGCTACCCTCCGTACCGTTCTACTCCATCTACGCCGCCACCAAACGGTAATATGCAGTGTTACACTACCACACGTGCATTAAAAATCTAATTCGTACCGTAGGAATGAGCACGAGAAGAGAGTGCCAAACATCGACCGGGATTTGTTTTCGTTTGCTATTTTTCCTACTAAGATGACCACGAATTTAAGGAAAAAATGAAAATGAAAAATAAAAAGAAAAAGGAAAGAGAAAAAGAAAAAGAAAAGAGAGAAAAAAGAAGAAGGAAAAGGGAACAAGTGAACACGACAGACGTGCTGTCCTCGTGGTTACTTCCGTTGACCAACAACAGGAGGTCCCGGTTTCAAGTCACTCTGCGTGCTTATTTTTGCAGTTTTAAAGAAGAAGAAAAACTGCGTGTTTTGAAGAAGGAAAAAAACTAAAGCGGACCGGCCCAACAAGAACCGTGGGATCGACTTTAGGGTTTGTTTCGCCAAACTTCTATAAATTCAGGATTTAAAATAAACTTTTTCCATTTGAAATAGGTACGTTGCTCAGTTCTCCAGGAGCCTTTACGTTGAGTACAGAGGCAAAGGCATCGATGTGCAGTGTCAGGTAAGTTTACAATTTTCTATATTAATTCATTCTACTATTCCCTTTCCATTTGATAATATAATGAACATTTATTTAGGACCAGCTTAACCAGCTAATGTTCGTCGGGAGCATGACAAATGCAAACGTTTACTATGGCAAATTCTTTAAATCACACAAGAAAATTTCTTCAAAACAAACACGGCAAATTCTGACAAAACGTAATGCTATTCAACAAAAATTACCATGCTCGCTTAAAGGAATTGCCATACTACGGACAACACAAATTGCTATAAAAAATGTTCAATATTCCGTGCTCCCCCAGCGGAGGTTCACTGAAAAGCATAACTGTTTTTGGTACTTAGATGTTGATATTTTTCTCTATAAACTTGTAGAGTTTTAACTTTCTAGAAAATCTATGTGCACTACAATATCAAATTAATGGAGAAGATATATGATCAACTGATGTACGCGACAAAGAAAGTAAAATAAAGATGCATCTCGCCAATCCATCAAAGAAGATCTGGTCTATCTTTTTCCCCATCGGCCCAAAAAACTGGACCGCCTGGTCCATCTCCTCCACACTTGATCTCCATGCCCTCACATGCCCTACGGTAGCTTTAGGGAACTTGAGGAAAACAACTAATTTAGTATTAAACAATCAAAAAGTTATAGATTTTTTTTACAAAAGAAATTTTTAATGTACTCATCAATCATGATAGTACAGAGAACACAAGAGGTAAAAAAAATTACAACCATGTCCATGGACCACCTAACAATGACTACTTGCACTGAAGCGAGCCGAAGGCGCGGCGTCGTCATTGCCCATCCCTCACTGAAGCCGGGCAAACCTTATTGTAGTAGACGTTCGGGAAGTCGTCGTGCTAAAACCCGAAATGACCAGCACACTAGAGCAGCAACCATCATCAATGAAGAGGGTTGTAGACCAAAAAGATCAAAAATGTAATCATACACTGGATCCAAATAGATCCATCGAAGACCAGCACCGACTAAATCTCGTGAGATCCGACGAAAACACACCTCCACACGTCTTCCAACAATACTGTTTGCACCATCGGGATGGGGATCAAACGTGGGAGACATTATTCCTACTGAGGGACATCGATTGCTACCACAACACAACCCCAACCAATATGTTAAACCTAATAAAAATGACAATGGGGTCCCTCCTGCCGGCGGGGGACCGAGATCCTCCGCGCCTCCATGGCCCAAAGGTCATCGGAGGTGGGGCGGATCAGCGGCGGCGCCGACGGGGGAAGGAATGAGACTTTTCTGGAGGAGGAGGAAAGGAGGCTAGCAGTTTTAACGAGGACTAAATTCTAAAAAGTTATAGATTTTGAATCTCATGAGCGGAAATTGCCATGTTCGCATAAAAGAATTGCCATACTACTGACAACATAAATTGTCATAAAAAAATTGTTCATTCTGCGATGCTTCCTCAGTGAACGTTCGCTGAATAGCATTACTGTATTTTTAAAAGGTCATGTTTCATAAACTTGCATCACATTTATAAGGAAAAAATATCTATACAATACGAAAATATATGTCTCACATGATGTATCTAATGATATATATGTATTTTGGACTTTAGATTTCAATATTTTTCTCTATAAACTTGTAGATTTTAATTTTCGAGAAAATTTATATGCACTACATTATTGAACAAAGAAAATATATGACCACTTGATGTACGCAACAAAAAGAGGGTAAAATAAAGACGCATCTAGCCAATGTTTGCTTACTAATGGTCGTGAGAACACATTCATACTAGAAACCTTCTGTCTATTTCTTTTGGTCTGTCTAGGACACATCTAAATGTGACATAGTTATGTCACATCTAATCGGATTTTCACTCTGTTTGTTGTCTATTTTTTGTCCTAATTTTTTTGTTTCTTATTGCTGCATTATATATTGTGGGAGCTTAGATGTGACATTCTTAAAAAATATCTAGATGTGAATTAGACAAATTGATCTTTTTTCCCTTCGACCCCAAAGGAAAATTGGACCCAGCTGCTCCCGTCTCCTCCACACTTGATCTCCACGCCCCCATGTGCCCTGTGCTAGCTTTAGCCAACTTGAGAAAAACAACTAATTTAGTTTTTTTTCTTATAGAATTATATTGAAGAAGAAGCGGCAAAGAAGCCGGATACAATGCCTTTCGGCCATTACAATGCCAATCAAAAAAGTTAGCAACCACATCCACCAAACACACCCACCACGCGTACTATGATACATGCTCCACCTAAGCCAACTGCATGCCAGTGGTGATGAGACAACCCACAGAGCAATCGAGCCGCGTCACAACCGACGCCGCGGACCTTTACAACAAGACCAACACTCGAGGTCAACACAGACCAACGCATCCCACCCATTGTGCCAAGAAGAAGTCGGCGCAAGTGATCGGCAGGGCCTGGGCGGACCAAGAGATGGCATCATTGAGAGAGCACCCGCGATGGTGTACATTGCACCAATGAGGCCCAGACCCGTAGTAGAAGCTGACAACGAATTGAGCCATGCCACTGAAACTCCTCGATGAACAAGACGGGGCCTCCAAGGAAGGGACGATGCCATGACACCGCCGCTGCCTGGTCCAAAGGTCGTACCAAGGGTTTCCCCTGAGCAAGAGGAGGGGAGTTGGATTGGGGCCAAAGCGACGCCTCTAGGGAGGGGACGGCGTCTACGGATGTCGCCATTGCTAGCCTTGACGTCGCATAGCAGGGATTTCTCCCAGCCCAAGACCACAAAACCCAATGTTCCAGAGGTGCTCAATCGGGCCGACCATCCTAATTCAGTTTTTTTAATCAAAAAGCTATACATTTTGAATCTTGTGTTAGAATTATGATCCAGTATAACCATTGGAGCTCTCGTAGATGAGGTGTTTGAAATTAGATCTCACGCGTAGATGTTTTAGCAAAATTATTTTTTGAAACCAATTTTCATGCTATAGGAAACACATTTTTGTTAGGTTTACCTACCATGACGTCGATTAGCTTGATGTTTAACTAAGTTGGTTACCATGAATGTCAAGTTGCATAAAAGTTTATCCTAAGTTGCCTGCCACGCTAGGGAGTAACTTAACATTGTCCTCACCTGCTTTCCATAATCAGTGATTACTATAAGCAACGTAGATTCAGAGGTAGGCAACTTAGCAACATCGATAGACCAATATTCACATTACCAGAGACAACTCATAAGTAATGGCAGACCACTGAGTTATAAACATTGGTAGGAGATTTTCACATTAATGCATGCAACTAATTAGCAATGACAAGGAAGCAACCTAGGAGAATGTTAAACAAATTCAATAGTACACATAGTGCATGAATGTTGTTTCTTCGTATCACTAAAGTTGCTTTGAAAAAAGTTTGTCAAAACGTACCTGGCCATATAGGAGATAGCTTCGAAACATCTAACCACGAGGAACCTAAGGGCGAAAATGAATCTTAATTACGATACTCTCAAGTTATACTCCTCGCGTACCAGTGCATTAGGCATATTATGAAAACCAAATAGCACTCCCAAATCTCCTAGGCAGGAAGCATGGATTGTTCCTTGTTTTCTTTCATGCCTCGTTTGGCCGGCCACACTTTCTCTCATGCGCATGTTAATTAGTTGTTAATTGCAAAATAAATGATATATGCATGCCGAGGAGAGAGGACTAAGGCGTTGATTAGGCGAGGGAATGAGGCTAGTCATAGTGAGGACTATAAGGCTAGTCATAGTGGGAGTAACTTAGCTAGTAACATAATGCACTTCGAGAAAATTCTGTTCATGTGGCAAGTAATTAATGAGAGATGGTAACATAGCACTTTCCAAGACAAGATGAGTCTATGAGCTAATAAATGAAGCCATCTATGATACTACTATTATGTTACTTTACATTATGAAGGTAGTAACTTAGACTAGTGTCATATGCATGACACTAGTCTAAGAGGGTGCTTGGATACGTTTTAGTCCCATGACTAAAAGTAGTGGGACTAAAACTTGCTAGCCTCATCCATGCTTGGATCCAAATACTAAAGAGACTAAAATCAAGTTATTGAGCATTTATTATTCTCCAAACCCTCCAATCCAGAACTTGCATGTGTTAAAGGAGAGGAATTAAATGAGGAGAGAGAGGGCTAATACATATTTTAGTAGGTTTTCTATGACTAAAAAATTTTAGCCTCAAGACTAGTCCTAGCCTCTCTTTAGTCGGGGGTGGTTGGAACTTTAGCCTCTAAAAGAGACTATTTTTAGTCAGACTAAAAATAGTCCCTTGGATCCAAGAACCCTCTAAGTTACTCCCCGCTATGACTAGCCTAAGAGTATGTTACTATCTTCATAGTGCAAAATAATAATGTAGCATCATAGATTGTTACATTTATTAGGTTGTAGACTCATTTTGTCTTGGATTATGTTATGTTACGGTAACATATGTTACCACAAACACCTCTCTTCTCATTAACTATTTGTCACCTAAGCAAACTTGCTTTAATTGTTTGTCATAGTGGAAGTAACTTAGATAGTAACATACCGTAATCCAAGACTAGTTTGCTTACGTGGCTTGTAGTTAATAAGGAGAGGGTGTTTGAAGTAACATAATATGTTTCCGTAACATAACGGAACCTAAAGCAAAATAAGTCCATAATCTAAGAAATGCAATCATTTATAATACTACTTTTAAGTTACTTTGCAATACTCCTTCCATCCACGAATAAGTGTACGTTCGGCTTCCAAATTTGTCCACAAAATAATGTACATCAATCTCCCCAATGCACCTTAAAATAGAAAATAATCTTCTCTCTCATCACACGATAATCAAGACCAATGATATTTAACAAATGGTCTCCTTACTCTAGACATGCTCTTAGCTCATTGAGAGTGGAGTAATTAAAGAGGAGAGAGATGTTGGCTTGCATCTTTTCAATGCATTTTTACTTTACTCCATAATCTGTTCTAAATTTTATATATGTATACTTATGCGTGGATGGAGGGAGTATGAAGGTAGTGGTATCTTAGGC